AGTTTCATGCCCTCCATCAATCTTCTTCCCCATCGTTAGATCCTGAAAAACACAAGAGGAAGGGTAAAATGTGATAGAACAATTGAGGGATTTGGTTAGTTTACTAACAAACATAAGATTAAAGGGAAACTTGGGAACGTATAAAACAGAAGATAAAGAAAGAGATGCTATGGTCACATTACCAACACCGTAAATGGGGGAAGTAGATCCATTGGCAAGGGTAACATTGTTTGATGTAGAGATTGGTGAAAGAGAGGAAAACACACCTGGAGTCCCGGTCATGTGATCAGAGGCTCTAGAGTCAATTATCCAGGGTGAGGGTTTGGATGCTAGGCAAGCTATACCTGAATGAGCGAGGGTGGCAGTGTTCTGATGTGAAGTGGCCTAAAGGAATCTCTAGTACTCCTTTCTTGGGATACTCATCATCTCCTTCCCAGAAGTAATTGTGACTGTAGAAGATACTGGATCAATTGGTTGAGTATCACTGACTTCACTACCACCAACAGCTGCATGATTAGCCCATGTGGATGGTGGGCCATCAGATCATAGCAGAAGTTAACTATGTGTCCTTCTCTTCCACAATGTGTGCACTTTCTAGTTGTGCTCCCCCTTCCTCTGCCACGGCCTCCCCCTGAATCACGACCTCCTCCACTGCTATGACCACCCATAGGGTTACCATGACCTCCCTTAACTGTATGGCCACCTCCTCTATGCCCATAAGAACCACCTCGAGAGCGAACAAGTGCTGATCTGTCGGAAGTTATGTTACTCTCTGTTAGGCTAAGAGATATCCTGCGAAGACGGGCAAAAACTTCCTCTAGAGTAGGGAGAGCAAATCCCCCCAATATCTTTGCTCTGACAGGTCACATTTTGCTTTGAGTCCCACCAAGAACCGTGTAACATCTAGTTGTTCCCTTTGTTGCTGCTAAACTTTGACGTCCGGAGTTAAGGGATGATAGACATTAAGTTCGTTCCGAAGATTTTTCATATTGGCATAATATTCTTCAAGAGTCTGATTTCCCTACTATAGACTAAAGTATTCCTGATAAAGCTGATAAACCCTTGTAGTGTTGTCTTGTCCAGAATAGAGGTTATTGGCATGTTCCTATATATCCCTTGCAGTATCTAAAAACATGAAATTAATACTGACTTTAGGCTCCATACTGTTCCATAGCCACGTCATGATCTGAGCATCCTCTTTCTCCTAATCACTAAAACCCAGGGATTCAGCACTCGGTTTCTCCTCTCGTACATGTTTCACTTTCTTCTTAGCCTTCAAAAACACTTCCACCGACTTGGTCCATGGAACATAGTTTTTACCATTGAGTTTGATGGATGTCATCTCGACACTCAAAAAATCAGAGGAGATCATCATACTCGATTTCTGGTCACCACTCGAATCACCCGCCGAAGCCATTTCAGTCTGCGGAACTGTCTGCCCGTCACACACACAAGAAGAAGAGGTTCCAACGACAGCACTACTGTTCTTCAACAACCACACCAGCACACTAATAGTCACCACGGGTTTACCCTAACATGCATTCGGCCACTTTGAACACTACTGTACTGCGAACAGGCAGATTAAAAAAACACAGAAAATCCCCCTTGAAACAGCTCATTCAAAGGTTCAGACCACCACCACTGCACCTACTCGACCACCACAGCTGTCACACATGGTGACAGCAGTCCACACGAAAAAAACTTTTTTTTTTTTTTTTCTGTTCACTCAACTGTTGCACTTGTCCACTGTCACCAGAGGTCAACCCACCGAAACCCTAGAAGTTGCAGCAGAAACCTGGGTTTGCTGCAGTCTTCTAACCAAGATTTTGTACACCAGAAAAAAGAAGAAAAAAAAACGAAGAAAGGAGAAGGAAGGGAGAACGAAGAAGGCTGCAATCGACCTATATCAGTGGCGCTCTGATACCATGTTTGTATTCAGCCGAACTGAGAAGAAAGAAGAGAGAGAGAGGAGAGRAGGAGGAGGAAGAAGAACAATGTCGAACTGAGTAGTTCAAAAGTCCTACACAGTCGACCTTTCATTTTGAATTAGTAAATAGGCATACAAAGACAGAAATGCCCCTGTCTATGTAAGAGACATACAAAGACTAAATTACCCCTATTTATTCGACTCTAACAGTTATTATAAGCATTTCATGGTTTGATGGGCAATGGTTGAGATGCTAAGGTCTTCTCAAGAGCCTCCGCTACTTATTTTGAAATCTATCCATCTATTCTTCCTACCTTCTTATCCCATATTAGGTGTGATGCTGGAATTGGTCACAAAATTTTATTTTGGAAAGACTTGTGGATTGGGGATGACTTATTAAAGAATTGGTTCCCTTGTATGCTCTTTCTTCCTACCATCTTGATTCTTGAACCCATTTTCAAATTTTGGATACCTTTTCCAAATGTGTGGCTAGGGACCTAGGTTTTAGGAGAGGCCTTAGGGAGGGGGAGTGGTGGCAGCCTCCTCTACACTGAAGGTGTGGATTCAACATCAATGGGTTCCCTCAAGATGCAATAGAATAATATGGATTTTGATGGAAGCTCACTTGACAACCCAGGTTTCTCTGGTATTGAGGAGTCTTTACTCTTTAGTGATGGACATGGATCAATTATGGCTATTTTTCAGGTCTTGGGTATGGTGACTCAGAGCAGGAACCTCAGCACTCTTGCAAGTTTTAACACTCTTTTTTTGAATATGTAAAATATGTATTACATTCAACTGTCAGCCAAAATAATTAACCAGCCCATGTACATTGAGGGATTATAGATAGGGGATATACAAAAATAGAAAAAATTATACTTTAGACAAAAAAGGTCCAACTATCTAGACACCCTGAAAGTGCTTCTGTATGCTTAGCCAAGAATATAGGATTTCTTTTAAATTTGTTTTTTTTTTTTTATCAATAACAGTGAATTTTATTAATAAAATGGAAAAGCTGAATTACAAAGAAGGAGCTAAAAAATCTTAACTCCCAAATACCCTATAAACTCAAATTCATGAAACAATTACAAAACAGCCTAAAACATTGAGCTTCTGTTCACCCCTTGCCTAGCTAGACCATCTACCAGTGCATTAGTGCTTCTCGCTATCCATGTACAACGGATTTCAATATCCTTGGTGAGCCACTTGAATTTCTTCTTTTCATTGCTGTATTTCCAGAGCGAAGAGCTGTCCTCTTTTACTCAATTTACTACAATTTCTGAATCACCTTCTATGATCAATTTTTTAAAATTCATTTCCTTGGCCCTATGAATCCCTTCAAGAGCTCCTAGGATCTCAGCCCTCAAGGAATCTCCCACCCCGATTGGGCCAGAGTACATAGCTAACAGCTTCCCATTTTCATCAACTGAGAACACTGCAAACAACTCCAAGGTTATTAACCAGTGAATCACCCTAATGTGGATAGTTTCCAGGATTACTTCCAAGCTTCTCTAAACAACTCCAAGGTTTTTAGCCAGTGAATCACCCTAATGTGGATAGTTTCCAGGATTACTTCCAAACTTCTCTCCTTATCAGAAAATACTCTTAAATTTCTCTCCTCCCAGATAGTCCAACACACTGCAGCTCTACCAAATCTCCACATGATCTCGGCCCTTTTGGTTAATCAGTTGGGTATGGAAGTAAATAAGCTTTGCACATCCGAAGGGGGAGTCTACTTGCAACCAAACAGAGAAGTAAACCATTCCCAAATGACTTTAACAAACTGGCAAGAAATTAATAAGTGATATCCGGACTCACCATCAGATTTACAAAGAGCAAACCAGTGAGGAGACAAGCAGGCTATTGGGCCTTTTTCTTTGAAGTAGATCCCCTGTATTAACTCTTTCTAGAAAGGCTTCCCAACAGAAGCACCCAACCTTTGGAGGAATAGGTCGACACCATACTTCTTTAACAGGAAAAGACAGTCCAACAAGAGAGGGGGACAAAAGGGCTTTGAAGAAAGAGGCACAGGAATAGGAACTCGAGGGAGTGAGTGTCCAAATTCTACTATCTGACTTCGAGGGTTCAATGAAGACCCCATCAAGAATGGATAATAAGGCTGAAATGCATGCTAACTCTGTGTCCCTGACATCTCTTCTCAAGTTCAAATTCCAACTGGACACAGAAGGTGAATTAGAAGGAACGAGAAAGGAGGAATTGGCTCATTTTTAAGGGTAGAGATAGCAAAGAGGCCTGGAAATTGATCTTTTAAAGAGGAGTTCCCAACCCAAACATGTTCCCAGAATTTAATGAGGTTACCTGAGTGTAAGTCATACCTGACCTATGGATAGAACAAGGGCAAGATGGATTGAATAGCTTTCCAAGGAGAAGCTCTTGTAGTCCTTGCTAAGATCCCAGAGTCCCATCCATTGCCTGCCAGCCCATACCAGAATATTTCCAAAGACGCACTGATTTCTTTCCTTCCAAATGACCCAAATGATAGCAGCTGGTATAATATTCCATGAAGTTTTCCCTCTAATGTTTAACCCCCATAACACCCAACCTAAGTAGCTGTAGCAGAGTTTCAGGAAGACATGTCTCCACATCAAAGCATGAGAGAGCCATACACCATAGCTGATGAACCTCAAACAGGTGGAGGTGGAAGGGGATTCCATGTTGGTAATGGGATGGTTGAAGAATAATAATTAAGGAATATGGAAATACAGGCAAGGATTTGAGGGAGATGAAGACTTTGGCAAGAGAGGTAGAGGCCTCATTCACTTGGGTTAGAGATCAACTAATTGACTGGCTTTATTCACTAGTCAAACAGGGGGTATACAATTGTTTTGAGAAATGAGTAATATAATTGGCTTTAAGCTCAATGGGAGCTGAAGGATGTTTTCTTTCCTTGTATACTTTTGATTTTAATTTAATAAAAATTCTTTTCTGTTATTGATAAAAAATTATTCTTTTTCACCTTGTAAAAAAAACATTTTATTCTGTCTCTATGCAGTTCTGTGTGCATGTGCATGTGAAATGAATGCTTTGTAACATTTCTTTTATCAGTGAACAGAAATTGTCTTTGCTAGAAGAAGCATTGTTTAAGGTCAATACATCTGATCCAGCTGTTGTTTCTACAATTATTGACAAAATCTCAGAGCATCCTCCTCTCAAAGCAAAATGTGCTTATCACAGGTAAAACTGGTATTAAAGTCATGGTCATCGTGGTCATATGGTGTCTGGATTCTTTTATACACTTGCGGTACTCCATTGGCCTTTGCTATCTTTTATATTTATTTCACCTATTTGATAGGTCAGCTAAACTTGGTTATCTGGATAAAGTAGTTTGATTACAGTTGAAGCATAGATTCTTTACAGGTAAACCGAGGAGAACACTGCTTCGTATTAGTTGCTAATTCAAGCTATCTTAAATTCTTAATAGTTCAAAGAAGAGATAAAGATCAAATTAGAATGCTCTTGCAAAACCTACTTGTCCTAAAATCAAACACCAGACCAAGGTAACTAGAACTATGGGATACATGATATAGGGTGAGAGGAGTGATGTACAGATTTAGTGATGGTAGGCTGACAAGTGTTGACAAAGAAAATTCAGATCTGTGGGAAGATTACAAATTTAGAATGATCTAAGGCTGAGGCTGCTCACTGATGTAAGTTCATTTTTCTCTCAATAAAATCTATCTCTGTTTTACTGATAAAAAAAAAGAATGATCTGAAACAAGTGACCACTTTAGTCTGAATTCTAGATCTCTATGCCTCTATGGCTCTATGGCTTAATTGGAGAAGAAAGATGGAGAGAAATAGTTTTTGATCTTTAAGTAGAAGGAAAGAAAAAGAGAAGAGAATCTCACACGTCACACCTTTAGAAGAAGAGAGTAGATAACCTCACTGGATTAGCCAAATGTGGTCTGTATTTGGATTATTTGTATAGTGACAAGCTTCCTCTCTAATCTTTTGGGGATCTTCCCCTGGTTTGTACTTCTTCTCATGTACCTCTTCTTTCTTTAATGAAATTTGGTTAAGTTTCCCTAAAAAAAGATAACCTCACTGGTGAATTTACAGCACATATTTGTGAACTTCAGTAGGAGGGATTAGCCAAGACACTTTCCTAATTTAAATGAGACTAAATAGAATAAAAACTTAATTCAATTTCTCCTCCCCAGGACGATTTGAAATTTGAAAGGTGTGTTAGATCTTCTACAGCTGAGATCAGCCCACTCGTCCCCCATATCCTTCCTATGACAAGCAGGTTGCATGTGTCCCATATCTGTTTGCTTAGCGTGTGGAGCACCATCTCCCATGTTCCACTTCCACTGTCGCAGCAAGCAACATAGGCTGAAAGAAGGTATACCATCCCTAAAGATAGCAGCATCAATGACATGGATAGAATCCATCTATGTGTGAAGGAAGAGATGAGCATCATGTTGGGAGCATCTGGAGGCTTCTTTGTGATGGTTGGGGAGGGGGTTTTATACAAAACTTGATCCAATGCTATTCAACCTCATTGAATTTGTTTTTCATTTTATCGAAGATTGAAATCTTTGGACAAATACCTGGTTAATGCTATACTTAGAAGAAGTGACTCAGGAAAGAAGCTCAACATAAACTGGCTGGTACTTCTATCTCAACAAATCTTAGAATTGTCAGCTAATCTTCTTCTAGTAGTTACGGTGTCTTATTTATTTGATAAATGATTTTCAATTGCCTATTTATTAATATACACTATATTTCCTGGATGCTCATCTTTGTTGAGTTTTTTCCTGGTTGCAGATTGGATGCTATTAATAGGTGTTTCTCTAAAAGGACGGTTGAAGAAATTTTATCTGCTCTTGTAAGTTCATGCAATGTTTGTTAACATGCTTTACATTTCTCTTGTTTGAAGTTTGTATGCGGTTTTATCTTATGCTCTTTTTTCCTAGTGCTTTTACTTCTTGGTCATGATTGAAGTTCATAAATTTTATACCGATCTAAAGAAAAAAAAAACCATGGGTCTTGTTTAAGTGAAATTTTCATGTTGTTATTGTAGGAGAAAGAGGCCGCAAATGGTGCTGATAATTGGTTATCTGAAACAATTCAGTCACTTAAGAAGGCATCCCCAACAAGTCTTAAAATTTCTCTGAGATCGGTATAGTCATGCACATTCTCAATATATCATCTCCTAATTCTCAATAGTTTTATTCATCAAAAAAAAAAAAAAAAAAAATCTTGCAATAGTTCTATTAAACACCTGCTTAACAATTTTCTAAGTAATGTGGAGCATTCTGATTTCTGACCTATTTTGTTTAAGATACACCTGTTAATATTTAAGCTACTTTCCTGCAATACCAGATTAGAGAAGGGAGGCTGCAAAGTGTTGGTCAGTGCCTTGTTCGAGAGTACAGGATGTGTTGTCATGTTTTACGGAAAGATGTTAGCAAGGATTTCTTTGAGGTCTCTGGAACCTGTTGCCAGTGTGTGTGCGTGTGTTTGTTTGTTTCCTCTCCTCCTAAATCATTCTGAAAATGAAAACCATGTTTCAAATGCAGGGGTGCAGGGCCATATTGTTGGATAAGGACAGAAACCCCAAGGTCTGTTTTTCCTTTGTTCTCTTTTTCTTCAATTGTTTATTCTCTACCTGTTAAAAATTAATAATAAAAGTAAAATAAACAATCCCTATTCATGGTAAATACTTTTTTTAACATTTTTTTTTTCTTTTTCTCAGTGGGAACCATTGCGATTAGATCTTGTAAGTGATGATATGGTGAATCTATACTTCACCAAGGTGGAAGATGAGGAATGGGAAGATTTAAAACTCCCGGCTAGGCCTAGCTTGCTTGCTGCTTCTTCAATGGCAAAGCTATAAATCCCTCTAAGAACAGATCCATAAGTTGGAAAACATAAACAGCACAGGTATTAAAGAAGATGCCAAGGTAGGCCCTTTCCCTAGGCAATTCCCTATCCAGACTTGGAAGACATACGAGGAAACAAGAGAAGGCCAATGTGTTGGAAAAAATAAACTTTGAAATTTCACGGATTTTTCCTTCTCTTATTATTAAACTTGATAATAAAGGCTGTAGCATTTGGACCAAAATGGCATCAAAATTGCCATCAGCAGGAACACCACAGAATGTAAGAGAATCCTGAATCTTTTATACAACATTGCAAGACTCATGGAACGGTATTAAAGATGATTTTAGGTACTCCATGTTTTATCATCTCCGAATCTGCATGTATGCCATTCAGTCAATTCCGCTTTAGCCAATAGAAATATAGAGTAATTCAATTGGACCCTGACCACGTACATGTTGGATGATACAGTTTGTATGAGGAATGAGGTTATTTTGGGAAGAAAATATATAGTTAGGGGCTCTAATGTGATGTCAATCTCATTGGGGTTTTATTGTGATTTTAGATAATTTTACTATCATCGAAGAGTTGCTCTCATCAAAGAGACATAATTGGTAGGTACCATCGCTAGATTAATGATCTCTACTCTTCTCTTTTATCTTCTTTTATTTTTTATTGTTTACAAATTACAACAAGATAGCATCAGAGCAATAAGAAGATGAGATTGATGATGATAATGCTGCTAATGATCTCTTTCTTTTCTTATAATGTTTTTCTTGTACTATAATTTACTGTTCGTTCTTGCAGTTAACCTTCATTCAGTTGATGTTTTTGTAATTCTATTAATGGTCCTACTGGTTTGATCTCCTTACTCATAACGACATAACCTCAGTCCCCTCTTCTGGTATTTGCTATCAAACCTGATTTTACTAATAATTTCACTTTAAAGAGTAATTATAACTCATAAGAATTATCACAAATAATAAGTTTCAGAATTATATGAATGGTAATTGTTTTATTAAATATTAGATGTTTTTGTTGTATACTTTTTTATTTGTTTGTTTCGTTTTTGAAGATTTTTGGAGAAGTTTCAAGCAATATTTTTATGCCTAGAAAAAAGTTTTACGGATTTTATCTCAAAAATCAGATACCATGATTTTTGTGAAACTAAAGCTTTCTTGTCTAGATCTATCATGGTACTTGGGATTCTTTAAATTTTCTTTTAAGTTTCTGAGCCCAACATTTTGAGTTTCTTAAATTTTGTGACATTGACTTAATGTCCTCTATTTCTCTCTTTATTTTGGTGCTAGGGTGGATTTCATCATGAAAGGCTTTATGAATGTTTACTGTGCCTAGATCCTTTGTATTTTAGGCTTTTTGATAATCAAGAAATTTTTATTAAAATTACTAGACATTTGACAGGGATTCTACTTATAGTCTTATTTCAAGTGTTATTGGTAAAAATTCAAATGTCTAGTTGTAGGGTAGATTAAATTTCAGATTTGAAAATTAAAGGACAAGAGGGGTGTTTTTATCATGAGAATGTTTTTGGTTGAAAAACCTTTTTTTTCTGCATTGGTTGAAAAACCTTGATGACGTATTTGTTGTGCATTACATTTTCTTGATGAAATTCTTAAAAGACAAAATTTTGATTATGGAAGAATTTCTATTATGTTTAAGAGTCATTTTTTAATTGTTTCTTTTGTGTCATTAAAGTATTTGATATTATCAAAAGTATCTAGTAGAATATTCCTAACACAGTTGTATTTTTGAAATTTGTTGTAAAATTCATTTAGTGGGTAGTATATATTCGTTGTAAAATTTGTTGACAAGTAGGTTTAATGATTGGTTGTGTCTTGAGTAAGAGCTGAAAGTGCCCCTGTCAATGCATTGCAAATTTGCAATCAAGCTAATCGGATCCTTAAAAAGTGTGGAGAGGTAATTGTTGTGCTACTTTAATCCTTAACAAGAGAAGCTCTAGAGTATTACTGAGATTGCATTATGTCTCCTTGAGCAAGCAGGTCGATGTTAGTTTGAAGGGGAAGGTAGAATAATTTTTTGGCTGCAAGCCTGCAATTAATGGTACACGAAAAGGTATAGTATGCAACAGATTAATAACAAAAAATTTTGGCTTTTGGGAGCTTCCCGTGCACGACTTTATTACCATGGGTGTAGGATAATTATAATAGGGTATTTGCAACAAATATTCTTTTGGCCAAAATTGATTCCTTAGTGGGGTAACGTGTACATTCACATGAGATTTGATTGGTTGAAGTGTGTGATACAGAACCTTTCATGTACCATAGAAATTGCCTTTAAATATTATATAATGAGACAGACAGAATTATGGCTGTTCACGGGTCAGGTTGGATCGGTTTACTAGTGTTTTTTCAACTGACCCGACCTGATCGGGTTACCTATAGATTAAACCGAAAGCGACTCTTTATTAAGTAAAATCGACCTGGTCAGTTTGAGTCGGTTTGGGCCAGTTTGGGTTTCCACCAACTCCAAGTTTGCACAATATACATGAAGTCAAAGTGCTAATATTATATATAATATTTCAAAATATATTTTCTGGAAATATATATATTTAAAACCAAAACATATGTACAAATATATCAAAATATATATTTTCTAATTTCTGGAAATATATATGATATATTTCAGAATATATATTTTTTCAGATATATATTTATTATTTAAAACTAAAATACCTATATTTAATAGATATTTTTTCAGAATATATATTTTTTAACATAACTCGGTTCGGAACCAAATTATTGGTTTATTCATCTTTGCAACTCGAAACCAACTGGAAGTGAAGAAAAACCGGGCAACTCGGATTGGGTCAGGCCAGGTTGGTCGGTTTGGATTTATTTGTAAACAGCTTTAGACAGAATTAGCAATATGTGGTTTTGTTAGACCAACGATCTTACTCTTCAGTTCCATCTCTTTTTTTTTTTTTCATTATTGAAAACAAAAAGTATGTATAGGATTATTCACTTCAATCATTGTTTTTATAACCATCTTCAATACCCTAAGACTGTGTTTGGTTTGAAGGAAAAAGAAGGAAAAGGCAAGGAAACCTATACAAGATTTGTAAAGGTTTCCTTACATTTCCCTTCCTTTCCCTACCTTTTCCTTTAAACCAAACATAGCCTAAAGGTTTAGTTGATATGGTTGCACAAAACTTAAAAATGCATGTTTGAATGGWATAAGAAAATGAAGTAAAATAGAGATAAAGAAAACTAAGAAACAGAGCATACATAGATTTGTGTGGTTACTTATAACCCATGTCCACAGGCAAAGGAAGAGCAGAAAACCACTATATTATGGAGTTGTGCACAACCTCTCATAGAAATCCTAAACTCTAAAGCACCCAAAACCTCTTGACTTCTCTTTCAAGCGAAGACGATGTATACAAGAGAAAACCCTCAAACTATATAAACCTTTGAATTTGGTTCGGATCCATAAGTTGAATATGGATTGAATTTATACTGTTATGGAATTTTGTCTTTTAAGTTTTTTTCAACTTAATTTGGAGTGGGTAGTGATGAGGAATTCAAGGCACAAACATAATACATATCCCATGAGAAAGCATAGTTAATGTCTTAATATATTTCAAATCCCTTAATTTGCAGAAATGGATATGATAATCATTTCAGCAAAGGTCTTTCCCTTTCCATTTCAATGAATAGAGGCAGTGCCTGAAAGGATAATGTTCCTTGGATATTCTCTATCGCTCAGAATACAGAGCTCGGTTTCTTAAATCCATATTTTCATGTACTACAGTTGTGCCAAAAGTTACACGCATTGTGATCAGCTGCTATCAATGTGGGAATGAAACTTGACCACTTGGACCATTTGAGAGTGTTTGGATAAGCTTTTTCGAAGTAATTTCAAGCTTTGGACGGCAAAGATGAGATTTACAGCTTGGTAAACTGTGCTTTCAGAACTTAGATTCCTTGAATGCAAAGGTAAAATTACAATAAAAAGCATGAAGCAATCAATACTAGGCTGTTTAGAGCTTCGGTTGCATGCTTTTTGGCAAATGTATTTTTTGCAAAACACGGTAAAGAAGAAGCATATGCAGCTTCACCAATGTTATGTCAGGTGGCAAATTTTGTGATACATGATAATAATTATGTTATATAAAAAGTGGTAAAATATATGCCACATGACAATTTATGACACGTGGCACAGATTTGTGCAACATGACACATGGCATGGCTACTTCAATGCCATGGTGTCTTAAAAGGACATATGGCATGATGCATAGGGCATGTGACATAAAATTTCTATATCATAAATTCCGAGAAATAACAGGTGGTATGTGAAATTTATCATGTAAAATGTGCTAAAAGAATCTCGATTTTGTCCTCACACCGTTTTCACAATACTTCAGCCGGGCATTGGGAGCATCTTTCCATGGATGAAAATATAAGCACAGAGATATTTCTAATATACGGTTGTAAATGTTGTGAGGATGGTAATGAGGATCAGTTTTGTGATGACAAAATCTGATCTCTGTCAAATATATAACCAAACTTTTAAGAGTTTCACATCAGTGCCCCACAATGCCTCCACAGCAAATGCGGGTTCTTCATATTCTTTTTTCGGGTAAGTTGTGATTCCACAAAGCTTCCTATTATGAAGTTATAGACTACTGTAAGTTCTCCCAGTGTGATTGAAATTATGGGGGCATCACTGAAGCCTATCTAGTCCCCTGTGCAGGAACAAGAGATGAGCTTGGTCAAGGATTGGCCATGGATTTCTTGGAAGTCTCCCAAGAGTTCACATTGTTCCTTCTGTGAAAAAAGGTTGGAAATGATCTAATACGAAGATTGGAGTGAATTCATGTTAATGTTGGATGTCTTGTTTATCCTCAACTATATTAGAATAATTTTCTTCTCTATGAGGATGATGTCGTTTTCCTAGTCATATTCAGAGATTGATATATTTTGTTATTTTCAGGCCATCCAGGCACAATTTAAAATATCAAAAGGTACCCATATGCAAGGTGAATGTTGCAGACGACGAAACAAGGTTTGATATGCCATCCCTGTCATTTATATAGGAAAATTCAGCAATTTTACCATCTATGCTCTACCTGGGTCAGATTGACAAAAGGGTCTATTTAAAGGAAAATTACAGGTTTTGTGGAAGTTTCTGATATGTTTTCCCACCTTCTGAAAAGCCGTTCTAATTGTGGATGGGCCACCAGACCTATTTACCCTGTTCGGTAGGAATAAGATGGTTGGTTTTCTTATGGATTTATTATTTAGTTCCTTAATAAGACAGCTTTACCTGGTAAGATGGATATAGCAAATCCAAAATAGTATGGATACGGGAAAGAAAATGAAAAATATTCAGTTCATCTGTCATATTTTCTATTAGTTACCTCTTTCCCGAACTTTTTTAGCATCTTCCTATTTCTTGTGTTTTTCTAAATCCCAGAATGCATAGTTGAATCTGACAATAACTTATTACTATATTGTCATCAAATATGTAACCAGAAGGTTATCAATCCTCATCTTCTGAAATCTGAATCTTGTAACCAAAAGCTTCTATAACCATTCAATTTGATCCTTTGGCCTTATATGGTTGTAACTGTTATTATTTAGTTTGTGGATCATTGGAGAATTTGAGAACAGAAAATATTGGAAGTGTTACATGATCGTGCTACTATGTTGCATAAAGTAATAGAATACAAAAGCCTAATTTGAAATTTTATAATTTCATCACAACCTAACAGTCTTCTCGTAGAATAATGTTCACATTATACAGCCTGCCAAAACTTCTTATTGAGTGCGAGGCCAAGAAAGAAAAAGAACTCTATACGTTCAGCTAGGAGGTATATTATCCACCTGTTGATACAAGCAATTAGGTGACATGCCGTATGAAGGAAGAATGAACTCATGAAGTCTGTATTTGCTGGCTTAGTTGCATATGAGCCTTAATTGTTGAACTTCTGCTCAGCAGTGATTGGTAAAGCCTATATCATCCATTAGTACATATATTAAGAACAACAACATAAAGAAACAAGAAATACATTTGTTAACTATATGCCTAAACTGCACAATTCATACTGTTCTATAATGAAATATTAAAAAGAAAAAAGATGTAAAGGGGAAATTTTTTGGAAGTTCATGAAACAGTTATAGAAACAGCAAATTTTGATAATATTGTCTATTACATCTATGTGCACGGTTCTCCCCAATGGGACTGGAGTGAGACCCTGAGTGTCTTAGAGGTAAGCTTATCTTGATACCAATCCCCATCTCCATTTCCTACCATTATTATGCATATGCATTTGTAGAAAGGATCCTTTTCTGCACTAAATGGTGGGATTTCTCTCCAGTCCCAACTAAGAGCTAATTTTAACAGCCTTGTTACAGGGAGCACTAATGCGACTGGTAATGCTGCTCAATCTGTCATACATTTAGATCCAAAAACCTAGCGACTCTTCGAGTGGTGCATATGTATAGAACTATGCAAGAGATGATAGTATTATCAGCAACAGCTTGAAGAATTTATGGGAAAAAAATTATTAAGAAAGTTTAGGTATGTATCTAGCCCACATGCACCATATATGAGACCAACACTGGGGAACGGTCTTATGCTTTAATTATTTGGTGAATGATTGAAGATGGATTTAAAAGTTTTGGAGGGTGTTCCTGCCGGTAGTGTGCCAAACAAACTGGAAAGGAAGCAGAGTGATTCCACTGTTGATGCCCTCTAAAAACTCCTACAATGTGATGGATTTCTGCTTTATATACGTATTAAAGCCAAGTGCTGGCCACAAACTCCTACTTGATTTCTTTATTCACTTTTGTAATATTAATCTGTAGTAGAAATCTTGAAAGCTCTTAACAGAAGATGCATACTATGCCCAAGCAAGAAAATGTTATGCACATCAGGCTTAAGAAAGAAAATTATCTTCTGATGGAGTACTTTACACATACTGAAGAGTGAAGACAGGTTTAAAATTAATAAAATAAGCAATATACTGACCCCAATTGATGTCACAAAATTGCAAACTGCACATTTCACAGATCGTGCTCCATATTGGTACATCAAGAGCATCCTGCAGTTCCCACAGTTTACATGTGCAACCTGGTTTGCTGCATAAGAGAAGAAAAAAAAAAAAAATCAAACGAATGTTACCTGAAAAATGTACAGTTCTCCTGGCAATAAGTTTTTTGGTTTATTATATTACTCCCTTGATTAGTCTTAATGTGAAATGTAATAAGAAACAAGAATCACCACCCCAAGAAAATTTGAACTAATCTTCAACATGCTTAAATCTCTGGCTAAACAGGTTAATGGGTTTGAAGTACTATTATGAGTTGTATACCTTCCATGGCTAGATTGATAGTGTGACAACAAGAACACTGCACACTTGTAGCTCCACGAATATACATCAATAAGGTGTGGCAGCCTCCACAGACCAATTGAGCCATTTCAGTTCCTACTTGGAGTCGAACACAATATAGAGATCATAACTAATTCAGCTTGAAAACTTTGTTGAGTCAGGAAACCATTCTAATGTTCCAATGGATAAAATATGCAGAGTCAAATGGAAACAGGGAAAAGAAGGTTAAGAGGCATACCAGGAGGCGGCACAGCTGTAACTGCATTGCAAACAGCACAACATACAGATGTTGCTCCAACCGGATAGGCAAGAAGGTTTCGACAGCCAGAGCAAACAAGTTGGCTCTGTGCACCTGGGACTGACCATGGATTTGCGTATATTAGATTAATATCAACATATTTTGCACCTCCACTACCTCTAATCGCTAGAAAGTAAAACAGAAAAAACTTCAATTGATGCAAAAGCAGGAAAATCTATTTCTCTGCGTAGACATAGGAACAGAACCAGCCAATCATTAGTCATTACAATCTATATACTTCCAAAACAATATTTCAAATTTAGTACAGATCATTTCCATTCTAACTTCTTAATACCAGAAGCTCACCAGTGGAGATTGATACTGGATTTTACTCAAAATTACTCTTAATGATTCGTTGAACTAAAAGAGCCCAACTTATAAAGGCCAACACAAATCAACCTCCAAATCCCAAAACACCATCTTGTGTCTACAAAAGTGAAATATTTGCACTGCAATGCTTTTGAGATCAGGAATTATTTCAAAACTAAACAAAACAAAGACAGAAAATTCAGATTGCTGTGAGCCTAAAATTAGCAGGCGGCCAGGGGACCAACCGTTTGCTGGCATAAATTGTACTGGAGCCGTAGGATACGGGGCGAGAGGAACCGGCATTGCTTTATCTGACAACTTAAGCCTTCCTCCTCCAAGCTTCTAAAAACTTGCAGTCTCAAGCAAAGCAAAACATAATTCTGTCTCCCATTCCCATCATCCCTTCTGCTAAATTAAAACAGAATGAAAAACGACCAACTATTATGAGATAAAATAAAAGGAGACATGAGAAAACGTTGTAATAAATCAAAGCAAACCACATGCATTACAGGATATATAATAAAATGCATTATGAGATAGAAGAAAAGGGCTTCGGAACCACATGCATTACAGAATATCCTCGTACAAGAATGAAAAGCAAAAGAGAATATCCAACGGGAAGAAGAGTAGAGAGAGAGAGAGAAAGACGGAGATAGATTTCTGAGATTTTCGTATAAAAGAAAATAAAACAGTAACCACTTCACATTACATTTCAAGTAGTAACAGCAATAAACATACAGGGGTTGTATCGAAATCGCATAAAAAAACCTATTGAATTATTGAATAACACCTGTTAAGGAATTCTATTAAGAACCAGACATGATGCTGGGATGCTGAAACTCAGTATTCAGATACCCAGAAAGGCTAGACCACTAACGAAAATTTAAAAGCAATGAACTGAGTAAAACTTAGAGGCAATATGCTCATACCCCTTTGCAGGTTGCAGATGAAATGAGAGAGTGAGAGAGAGAGAGAGAGAATTTCTAAAAAAGTTGGTGTTAAAAAATATAAAAGAGATCTTTTTACCTTTTCCTTCTTGTCTGAATTCGTTCTTCCCCTTGTAACGGTGTAAGTGGAACTAGGGAGCTGAGGTGACTTTCTTTCATTTATGTTGGTGGCATTTCTAGATCATAATCTCTCAGAAATACTGGGACCCATTGATCTCGCCCGTGTTGTCTTCTTCTTAGGCCAACTCATGGCATGCACGTGAGTTATATTTCCAACCACACCTTCCCCTCTCACCAGAACTTTAGGCGGTTCAGAACCAACCACGTAACCTGACACAACTATCAAAGCCGTCCAAAACATGGTTTTACGTTTTTTTATTGTACATATGATAACTTTTTGAAGGTTACAGAAATAAAAAACTGTAAATTAATGAGGAATTTTGAGAGTTAATACCCTCTCATAACGAGGTCATAAGCCAATGTAGTTCTTCAATGAAGCTGACTGACCAGACAAGAAAGAGGATTCGATTTCCTTGTACTATGGATAACTGGATAAGGCTTTGTTGAATTGAGGTGAGATGTTGCTTTGCACATTAGATTAGTGTAAAATTATTGAATATTTGGAATCACCAGTGTAAGATGGAGATTGAATATATATCTCCTTCAAAGTTCAAAGTTCAAACCAATGTGAATATATATTCAACAAGCCTTATCCCAAATTCCCAACTGTATGGATTCAATTGAAAAGTTGAAATTGGTGTTGCAAAGGTAGAAGAAGAAAGAGAGTCTACATCATTGTATCAGATGCAATTAATGGTATAAGCAAAATGTGAACCAAACATTTTCAAGCTCCCTATATCTTGTATGGGTTTAACTCAAGGTTTTTAAAATCGAATCAGACAATAAATCATTCAAGGGTCCGGTTCTYAGGTTGAACGGTCTAATCATTCAAATCAAATGGACGGTTCGTTCTGATAAAAAATAAAAAATTAAAATTGGTCAAAAATTATTGTCAAGGTCGACAGTTCAACTGTTCAAATCAACGGTTTATTGACTAAATCAACGATTTTTGATCAAAAAACGATTCTGGAATGAAACGGTGACCAAATCAACGGTTTAGTAAGCTGCTTTTTAACTACTAATTAAATGTCTGTTTCTATAGTCAACTTTCTACATATTGAGGCAACCCTCAACTCCCTTACTGGTTGCATGACACGTGGAAAGAAAGATTAGTAAGCTCCACATAAGGTGATGCAGACAATTATAAAGTTAGGTAAGGTGGGGATGATGCTAACAACAGACCATGGTTTCACAAATCCACTTTCCTTATGGCTCCATTGCCAAAGGGTTAGGTCCAAAGCATTTCATGAGCTGGGGTCCCCTGAAGTCACTCTCTGATAATCTCACACTCACAGCAGATGGAAGGAGAGGATTCTCTAATGTGATATTGTGAAGTGATAGCAGTTGTATGACAATGTCAATGTTTCAAAATTTTAATTAGTACAATCGAGTTTACAACATTTTTTTTTGTTTAGTTGAAGGACAAAAATTTACTCTGTCTTTCTTTCCTTCATATTTTCTCTCTAACATATATTTTATTTTTTACTTTAAATTTATTTATTTGAATTCTTTTATTGAAGCAAATTCTTTTATATTTTCTAATTTCTATAGCAATTTCTGTGATGCTGGAAAGATATGATACAGAAAAAAACTTTGATCAATCATAACTCACTGTCAATTCTGATGAATATTAGTTGATTGGTCATCACATTTTGAGGTATTATGTCTTTCTGTTAACTCGAAACCTGAATGACCCAAACAGATTTTGTCCCAGGTAGAGTTAGTAAAAATTTGGATTCAACCCAACCCTATTTGAAATGGGATTTTATGTGTCCTTTTATTTTTATAAGTAGCAGAGGATTTTATTTATATTTTTTAAAAAAAATTTAATATTAGAAATACAAATATATCATATGGATATTTTAATCCTTGATTAAATTATCATTATCTTTTAGATTCAAATTCAAAATCATGACAACTCCTCGGTGACAAAGTGAGCTGGTGACGGCCAATAATTCATACAAAAGGAACCAAGGAATGATGCAAGAAGTGTGAGTAATATTGAAGAGAAGGTGGTACATCTGTTGTTGTTGTGAGGCGTTAGCAATCAAGCTTATTCCCTTTTTTTTTTATAAGTACCAAAAAGAGAAAAAGGAACGCGGTTGTTACCGGTGCCGGAAAATGATGTCTCCTTCCAGCCAGGTGCCACTCATTTTGCTAACCAATCACTATTCGTGTGCAGAGTGAGCTAAGGGACCAGGAGAGAAGATTCCAACCGAGGCAGCAGAGTGGCTATCCTTTTCGTTTGTACTTGAAAGTGGACAAGTGGAAACTGTCAGACGTGTGGGGCCTACTGATTGAATGGTCCTGATTTACGCTAAGACTCAGGTGGGGTAGTATGCTTTACAGCCAAGTCTGAGTCGCTTCGTACTGGGTCCTTGCTTTTAAGGTCCCATCCTGAACAAGGCATTATTTTGGATTTCTTGTTTTGATAATTTAGGGTATTATGTGGATTGGGGCTGCAAGCAGGGGGTGATGTGGAAAACCAAAAATGTAATTGAACCGAAAATCCAAATTGATCCGTTTGATATTTTAGAAAAAACTGAAGGCAGTAATTTTGTTTCCTTTAATTAATATCTATTTAAATATCTATATCTATATCTGTATCTATACTATTTATAAAAGTGTGAAACAAGAGGTATTGGCTTCTAGAATTTTTCTTTACCGTAATACCCCTCCTCTTGAATTTAGTTTATCTCTATTGAAAAAGATAGAAAATGTAATTAAAAGAATACTATCATTAAGTACATTCGATTACCTCTCATTAAGTCTCACATTTAAGTCATYAAATAAATCACATTCTCACTCATTGAATTCAATATTTATAATTTTGTTTTTAATCATTAAATTCCACTAATAAATCCATACACAATAATTATTAATAGAATGAAATTTTATATTTTTAAAATAARCATAGAAATGAAATCATATTTTTCATCTAAGTGCTGGATAAATAGTTCAACCATTTAGGTCAAATGAATAATTTCATGATGTCATAAATAAATAATACAAATTTTTAAATATAAAAAATACTTTTGTTTATCATCATTAAATTCCACTAATAAATCCATATAAAACAATTTAAAATAAAYCTAGAAATGAAATCATATTTTCCATCTAGGTTGTGGGTAAGTACTTCAACCATTTGGGTCAAATGGATAATTTCATGATGTCATAAATAAATAATAAAAATTTAGAAATATAAGAAATACAAAAAAATATAGAAAAAAAAATAAATTTTGAAAAAAAATTAGACACAATTCTATTATTATATATTTGTCATATTAAAAAATAACTACGATAAAATAGACATATTTTTATTAATGATGGACATCAAATATACAACTTAAAACTGATGGGAAATTAATCCATCTTCCTATCTAGGGGGTGGGTTAGTGGTTCAACCTTTCAGGTCAAATAGGTTAACCCATAATGCATAATTAAAAATAAATATTTAAAAATAGAATAGTACAAAAAATATAAAACAATTTTGGGCACACCTATAATATTATATACTAATAATATAAACAAAAATAAGTATGATAAATAATAATTATTTTATCAATGATATAAATAAAATACAAAATTTAAAACCAGTTTGAAAATGAAACCATTTYCATATCTAGATGGTAGGTAGGTCAATAATCTAACATTCCGGGCCAAATGGGTCAATCTATGATGTCATAATTAAGTAACGAATATTAAATACATACATACAAGTGATGGGTTAGTGGTTATGTTATTATTAAATAAAATAAAATATATAAAATTCTAGAAAATGTAGAAATTTATCGACAATTTTGGGTACATTTTGTAATATTATATATCCATCATATAAAAAGTGTGATTAATGAGAATTATTTTATTAATGATAGAAATGGGATAAAAATTAGGATAAAAAATAAAGAACATTAATGTCTAAAACGATCCAACTAACCATGTCAAATGGTTCAATAATTTAATTAGCTAGGTCATCATAGGCAAGTGTTTGGTAGGGATGCAAACAGATCAGATCATATTTGAATTAGGGTATATTCAAATTTGATCTAATCCAAAGATTCAATTGGATCTCATAAATATTGATTCGAATTTCAATCTGATCAAGATGCCAGATATTCAAATCTAATACGATCCGATTTAATTTAAAAAAAAGTAATAAATTATTAAAAGAAAAAATATAACAATTGAAAAAAAAATAAAAAATATAAGTATTTTTTCAACTATTTCCATCATATAAAAAGTTTACCAAAATTCAATATAAATAACATATTTATAAATAAATAATAAATAACATATATATTATATATAAATAATATATATACTATATATATATATAAATAATTGATTTGACCACAATATTAAAACCAATGTTCAAACAATATATTGGAATTGAATTTCCTCTTGGTATATAAGTAATTTTTATTATCTCATAAATAATAAAAAATAAAAATATAGAATTTTTTTTATAAAAAAATTGAACATACATTAATATTATATATTCTTCATATTAAACAAAAATACATTTTAAAAAATGAGAATTATTGTTAGTAAAGATAGAAATGGCTAAAATACAAAGAAAAAAAATGATTTAATGTCTTAATCATAGTCCATTTTCCTAGTTAAATAGGTTAATGGTTCAACCAGTAAGGTCCTTTGGTTAATGATATTATCATCATCATCATTTGGTACTATCACGTGCAAAAATAAATGTGGAAATAAGAATTACTTTTATTGATGATGAAAATGTAATACATGAATTAAAATCAATCGAAAAAGAAAAAAATGGTTTTTCCATCCAAGTGGTGGGTTAATGGTTTAACTATCCATGTCAAATGGAT